AAATTACTTTTCCTTACTACTGTACTGAATCCATCCCTCTCGCTGGGAACTGTCTGAGGCTGAACTGCACTCTTCTCAATAATGCTGTCATATCTGGCCTCAAGATGAACATCTTACCATACATCTTCTCAATCACAAATGCCAGAAACTTCAATCTCTAAAATGCTCCTTCTCTCCACCTCACTCCAGCTCATTTGCGACTGAAACCCCTTACCCATGTCTGTGTTGCCTTAACCATGACGATTCCAAAAGAGAACGCTGTATTCTCCGCCTTATCAAGAATCTGCTCCCACGATGGGAAATATCCCCTCAGCATTTATCCTGTCAACTCCCTGAAGAATCCTATATTTTTAATTAGATCATCTCTCATTCTTCAAAAATCTAGTTAGTAGGTTCTAAACCTGTTTAGTCTTAGCTTAAAAGATAATCCCTCCAAACCAATGATCATCCTAGTTCATCTTCTCTGAAGTGCCTCCAATGAAGTGATATATTTGCTTGAATAAGTGGACCAAAAAAGCTGCTTACATTCCTCCAGATGTGGTCTTAAGGGCAATTTGTACATTTGTCCTAAGACATATATTCCAAACTCTTATACTGCAAACACCTTGACATAAGGGATAACTTCCCATTACCCTTCCTGATTACCTGTTGCAACTGTATGCTCGCTTCGTGTTTCCTGCACAATTATTCCTGAGTCCCTTTGTGTTGCAGTTTTCCACAGTTTTTACCTTTTCAATAACACTGTGTTCTTTGGTTGTCTCCTCAAAAAATGAACAACTTCACATTTTCCCGCATTATACTCCATTTGCCAACTTGTCGCCCATTTATCAATTTCTCTCCATAAACTGTAACCCTCATGAAACTTGACTGTTATCCCTTTTTTATGAAATCCTCCCTCATTCTTCTAATCTTTTCGTTGGGAACACTGGGCAACACGACATATACGTAATTGCTACCTTTTTAATGGGCATTCTTTCGAATGACTGGGAGAAGCTTACTGTCCATTGTTCAGAATCGAGACAACTTATCCATCAAGCTGCGTTAGCTTTTCCGGCCCAAAGTCTCATTGTGGCAGTGCAGCAGCACGGAAGGAAAGAAAAGGAAACGAATCCTGCTGTCTGCATCTCACTAACTCTTGGCCATTCTTTGCCATGTGTCAAAGACCTGCTGATCTGTTCAGTGACATGAAGTCCCAAGGTGGAAACTCCCAGAAACCCAAATAGTTTTCCCCCTGAATTCACTGCTGACCTCCACAAGGGATAATGTGTAGCAGGGACAATGCACAGTTATCCTCGGCCAGGAGGAGGAGATGTTGTGAATTTCTACCCTGGACTGACAGTTATGGATTTTATGAATTTGTGTTACAGGATATTACAAGTGGACTTTCAGGTGGGAATCTCAATAATTGTAACACCAAACTCTGACAGAATTACTCAGTTCATCAGGACCTGGATATTCGCATTGTGTGTGAGTATTGTGTTCCTGCTCATTCCCATTTGCCGTGTAAAATTTCTCTCTTAAATCACCCCATTCTCTCAATAGATCTTCCCTAAAACTTTCAATATGTGTCCTGTAATCCTTTTTATGATCAGTTGATGAGTATACGTTTTATCATCCATATGTATATCTTTTGTAAACACCTCTATCAAAGGTCCCCTCAAATTCCTTTGTTACAAGGAGAACAATCTCAGTTTCCCCAAACACCTGATTCCCCAATGACTGTTTGCTGTCTATAAGGCACTCATCCGGATTGTGTTGGAACATTTTCCACTTACCCGCATCAGTGCAGCCCCAACAATATTAAAGAAACTGAACATCCTCCAGATGAAGCACTGTGTCAGAGTGGTGTCCCATCCACCACATTCAACATGCCCCTCTTCACCACTAAGGCACAGTAGCATCACTGTGCCAAAGGTAAAGTCACCATTGTCCTACCTGACCATAGGGCTGGTTTAACCTGAAGATTACCACACCCCAGGCGAGGGGAAAGGTTGGAAAGGAGAGTCCATCTATTGTAGATGGATATTCTCGATATGTACCAGCAACGCCCAAGTCACATGAAAGAATAATGTCAAAAACAGCCCTAACCATGCAACTAAAAACCCTCTTCCTACAAATCATTCTGTTAAATCTCCTCTGCCCCCTATCAGGGACCCTCCCATCCTTCACAATGTGTGGGTGATCTTTGGTTTGCACAGACTCAGCTCGTCTCTGTTCCTGTCTGTGATGTTATCATGCTGTGACAATTGCTCTGAACCTCACTGTCTGTAAGGTGGTAGACACAGAGATCCTCATAACATTTAAGACATATTTAGATGCACACTTGTGATGCCACCGCAGACAAGTCTATGGGCCAAGTGCTGGAAATTTAGATTAGAATAGTTAGGTGGTGGTTTTTAACCGGCACAGGCTGGATGGGCCACAGAGCCTTTTTTTGTACTGTAGACCTCCGAGACACTTCACATAGGAAGATGCCAAGCAATATTTCAAGCCAGTTCAGAAAAGGAGATATTAGAATAAATGACTCATGATTGGTCAATGTTTTCAGGAGAAAAGTGAGGTATAGAGATGAAGCGGTTTACCAGGATATTCTGGAGCGTGAAGCCCAGGAAATTGAAAGTGCCGCCATCAAGTGGAGGAGTAAAAATGGGGTATCATCATAAGCATTGTATTAGAGGAAAGCACATCATTGAGATTTGTGAGGCTGGAGGATATTAGAGACAGGAAGGGTTCTGAGAGTGGAGAAGATTACTAAAATAGGGAAAAGTGTGAGGTTGGAGGAGGTTACAGAAATGGTGAGGATTGTGAGGCTGGATTGGATTTCAAACAAAGGGAGCTTTGTGAGGGTAAAGACAATTACAGAGCTAAGGAAGTTTATATGGGCTGGAGGAATTTACAGAGATAGGAGGGTGTTGAGGCTGGAGGAGATTACAGAGATAAGGCGGTTTGTGAGACTGGGGGAATCTAAATATGGACAGATGGTGAGAGTTCTGAGGCTAGGGGGAGATTCCAACGACAGGCAGGTCGTGAATCTGGAGACGGATTCCAGCGATGTGGAGGGTGGTGAGGCTCGAGGGTGATGCCTGCAATAGTGCAGGTAGTGAGGCTCAAGGGTCATTCTCATAATAGGGAGGGTAGTGAGGTTTGAGGTATGATTCCTGCGATAGGAAGGGTGGTGAGGCTCCAGGGTGGATTATCGTCTAAACAGCACAGTGGTGTACTTACAGCACATGGAGTTCACCACCACTTCCTCCAAATCAAATAAAAATGGGCAATCAATATTAGTCTGGGCAGCAAAGACCACATCCCATAAGTAAATTAAAATTATGATGGGTTTCTGGTTTGGAGAGAGCTAGCAGAAGCTCAGATAATTCTCCTTGGGGCTGATTAGCAATGATTTAGTCGAGTAGTAGATTTGTTTCCAGGATAGTAGTTTGCAGAGAAAGAAAAATTATTAACATTGTGGCAACGTTTGGTAACCGCAGAATACAACATTCAGATAATTGGCAAATAATGCAGGGTGAAAATGTGAAGATTACTTGACTCAGCAAGATCCCAGGATTTGGAACAGTCTGAATGGCAGCTGGATGCAGATTCAGCAGTTATTCTCAAAAGAGATTTGAGATTTTAACTTTTCAAGGAATGATTAAGAGGGCCGTGGACAAATGGCAGGGGAATTGGGTTAGATTTGCAGCACCTCGAGAGTGAGAGTAAAGCCTTTGACAGGGTTCCATATGGTAGACTAACTAGTAAAGTTAGATCACATGTGATTCAGGAAGAGCTTGCTAATTGGAAACAAAATTGGCTTAGTTGTGGAAGAGAGCATGTTGCTGGAGGATTTTTCAGAGTGGAGTTCTGTGACCAGCGGTGTTCCACAGCAATCGGTATAGGGTCCACTTTTGTTTCTCATTTATATTAATGATTTGGATGAGAATTTAAGGGACAAGATTAGTAAGTTTGCAGATGATACTAGAATTGGTGGTATAGTGGTTAGTGAAGGTTATCTAAGATGACAGCGAGATCTTGATCAATTGGGTCAATGGGTTGAGGAGTGGAAGATGAAGTTCAATTTGAATAAATGCGAGATATTGTATTTTGGTAAAATGAACAAGGGTAGGACTTGCACAATTGATGGTTGCACCCTGGGTAGTGTTGTGGAACAGAGAAATGCTGAGATTCAGGTACATAATTCTTCGAAGTTTATGTAGACAGGTAGACAGGGTGGTTAATAAGTTGTTTAGCACACTTGCCTTCATTGCTCAGACCTTTGAGTACAGGAGTTGGGATGTTATGTTGAGGTTGTACAGGACGTTGGTGAGGCTTCATTTGAGGTATTGTGTGCAGTTCTGGTCGCCCTGTTACAGGAAGGATATTATCATTAAACTGGAGACAGTTCAGAAAAGACTTGCTGGGATGTTGCCAGGAATGGAGGGTTTGATTATCAAAATAGACTGCCAAAGCTAGGACTTTTCTCACTGGAGCATCGGAGGTTAAGGGGTGACCTAACAGAGGTTTATAAAATCATGAGGTGCACAGAATATGTGAATAGCAAGGGTTTTTTTCCCTAGGTTGGGGGATTTCAAGACAAGGGGACATATGTGTAAGGTGAGAGGAGAAAGACATATGAAAAAAAGACATGAGGGACAATTTTTTTTTACAGTGGTTCATGTATGGAACCAACTTTCAGAGGAGGTGGTGGATGCAGGTACAGTCGCACTGTTTAAAAGACATTTGAATAAATACATGTCTAAGAAAGGTTTAGAGGGATGTGTGCCGGATGCAGGCAGATGGGATTAGTTTAAATGTAAAACTTATATATTTAATATAAATTTCAGAGTTCTAAATTGGAGTAAGGTCAACTTTGACGGTATTGGGCAAGAACTTCCAAAAGATGATCGGGAGAGGCAATTCACAGGTAAAGGGATGCTTGGAAAGTGGGAGGCCTTCAAAAATAAAATAAGGAGAGTCCAGAGACAGTATATTCCTGTTCATGTGAAGGGCAAGGCTGGTAAGTGTAGGGGATACTGGATGACTCGAGAAATTGTGGCTCTGGTCAAGAAAAAGAAGGCAGCACATGCCAGGTATTGACAGCAGGAATTGGGTCAATCCCTCAAAGTATAAGGGCAGTAGGAGTATACTCGAGGGAAATCAGGACGGTGAAAAGGAGATATGAGCTATCTTTGGCAAATAGGGTTAAGGGGAATCCCAAGAGATTCTGAAACTACATTTAGGACAAAAAAGCAACGAGGGAGAAAATAGGGCCCCTTTAAAGATCAACAAGGCAGTCTCTGAGTGGAACTGCAGGCTGAGATCGTAAATGAGTATTTCGCATTAGTATTTACTGCAGAGAAGGATATGGAAGCTGGAGAACTTGGAGACATAAATATGAGTCATAAAAAGTGTCCATATTACAGAGGACCACGTGGTGGACGTCTTAAAATGCATAAAGGTGGATAGGTCCCTTGCACCTGATCAGGAGTTATCCACAAACTCTGGGGGAAGCTAGGGGAGTAATTGCTGGGCCCCTTGCTGAGATATTTGTATCACTGATAGACACCGGTGAGGTGCCAGAAGACTGCGTGGCTAATGTGGTGCCATTCTTTAAGGAAAAGCCAGGGAACTATCAGCCAGTGAGCCTGATGTCAGTGGTGAGTAAATTGTTGGAGGGGATTCTGAGGGACAGGATTTGCATGTATTTGGAAAAGCAAGGACTGATTAGGGATAGTCAACATGGCTTTGTGAGTGGGAAATCTTGTCTCACTAACTTGATTGAGTTTTTTGAAGAAGTGACAAAGAAGATTGATGAAGGCAAAGCTGTGGACATTGTCTATATGGCCTTCAGCAAGGCATTCACCAAAGCTCCACATGATAGACTGGTTAGCAAGATTAGATCAAATGGAATCCAGGGAGAGTTAGGTATTTGAAACAAAATTGGCTTGAAGGTAGAAGACAGCATCATGGTGGAGGATTGTTTTTTTCAGTCTGGAGGACTATGAACAGCAGTGTGCTGCAAGGATCAGTGCTGGGTCCACTGCTTTTTGTCATTGATATAAATCATTTGGAATGAGTATTGGAGGAATGGTTCGTAAGTTTGCAGATGACACTAAAATTGTTGGTGTAGTACCCAGCAAAGAAGATTACCTCCAAGTACAATGGGAACGTAATCAGATGGGTCGATGGGCCAAGGAGTGACAGAAATAAGTTTAGTTTAGATAAGTGTGAGATATTGCGTTTTGGTAATGAAAATCAGGGCAGGACTTAAACACTTAACAGTCCCCAGGGCCTCATTGTTACGCAACAGAGACTCCTTGGGGTGCAGGTGTACAGTTCCTTGAAGGTGGATTGCAGGTACAGAAGGTAGTGAAAATGATGTTTGCTATGCTTGCATTTATTGGTCAGTGCATTGAGTATAGGAGTTGGGAGGTCATGTTATAGACTGATGTTACTAATCCCTGCTCAATTACAGGTGCTGGTATTGTGGATAAAATGTTAATAACAGTTGTGTATCTGTAAGGTAGAGCTTGGAAATAGTCATATTGTCACCATACATCGACACAGTCACACTGACTAAAGGCTATCCACCTGCACAGTATGTGAAAAGGGATTTCCTGGTTCATCAGGACTGGTTAACTACCAGCAAATTTCTGAGTAAGTGTTAATTGATTTTGAATTCTGCTGTTAGCTATATCCAAACCATGTTTTTTCGGCTTGTTTCTGGAGATCATAGAATCCCTCCAATGTGAAAGCAGACCATTTGGCCCATCACGAAGAGTGTCCTACCCAGTCTCAGTAACACTGCATTTAACATGGCTAATCCACATAGTCTGCACATACCCGGGCACTATGGGCAATTTAGCACAGCCAATCCACCCTAACCTGCACAGCTTTAGACTGGCAGGAAACCAGAGCACCTGGAGGAAACCTGCACAGACACAGAGACTGTGCGAACTGCATTTAGACAGCAGCCTGAGGCTAGAATCAAATGCAGAAATAGAAACAGTAAACATCCATTCAGCCCTTTGACCTTGTTCCTCCTGTCATCTACGTCAGTTCTACCTTCTCAAATTATCCCCATTTCCCTCATTGCTGATGTACAAAAATCTAACACTGCCTGATTTGGAAACCCGCGATGACCAAGAATCTACAGCTCCCTGGAATAGAGAATTCCACAGATTTACAGTGATGTGAGTGAAGAAATTGCTCCTCACCTCAATCTGAAATGGTCACACCCTTATTCTGAGACAATTACCCCATGTCCGAGATTTCCCAGCCAGAGGAAACATTTACTCAGCATTGTTCCTATCAAGCATCTTCCAAAAAAAAAGATAATTCAATGAGATCACTTCTATTTCTCTATATCCTACAGGTTGGTCATCAGTTAGTTCAGTTGGCTGGACGGCTGATTTATGATGTGGAGTGGTACCAACAGTGTGGGTTCAATTCCTTCACCAGCTGAGGTGACCATGAAGGACTGTCCTTCTTGACTTCTTCCCTTGCCTGACTCTCAGGTTAGCCACCACCATTTGTCTGTCTCGAATGAGAGACAGCCTGGTTGTCCAGTAGCACTATGGTGACTTTGATTTTATCCCACAGAATATAAGCCCTGTTTACTCAATTTCTTCTGCTCAGAAATCCCCTCTTCCCAGGAGCCAGTCTGGAGAACCTTTGTTACACTCACTCTAGATCATTCATATTAGTTCAGTCATCAGAAACTGCTCACAGTCCTCTAGGGCAGACCTCACTCCTGAAAACTGCTCACAGTCCTCTAGGGCAGACCTCACTCCTGAAAACTGCTCGCAGTCCTCCAGGGCAGATCTCACCAGAGGAACCTGCTCGCAGTCCTCCAGGGGAGTTCACTCTCGTTCTTCAAAGCCCTTTGTAATAAAAGCTTACCTACCGTTCGCCATTTGTTGCTGCATCTTCTGTTACGTTCTGTCATATGTATCCAAGGACACCTGGTCCCTCTGGTGACGTTTCCACACTCAACATTCATGATTAAAATGTCAGGGGCAATAACTGTGTCACCCATTCTGTCCGAGAGCAGGTACTGGCAATGCTGTTCACATTTTGCTGTCTCTGGGCCTGACTTCTGTTTCTTCTCCTAGCCCATTTGTTTATTAACTTCTCATTATAGACAATGTTGCCTTGTACCATTATTGTGATGGACTTTGTCATTTCGTCACTCCAGCCTCCGAACTGCTTGCAAAAACATTATTCTTTCACAAACATGCTAGTTAGGAGCAAAGTCAGAAGTCAAACAATACCAGATTATAGTCCAACAGGTTCATTTACGTCAGAAGCTTTCAGACTGCTTGTTCCTTCATCAGGTGACTCCACCTGCAGAAGGACCAGCTCTCTGAAAGTTTGCGATTTCAAATAAACCTGTTGGACTATAATCTGGTGCCATGTGACTTCTGACTTTGTCCACCCCAGTCCATGATCGGCACTTCCATATCAAAGTTAGCGGTAGGAATTGGCCATTCGCCATCAAGCCTGCGCTCCACTCTCCTTTTCCGTGACACAGTCCTAGTTTATAAACTATTCAATACTAATATCATCCAGTTCAGGTAAAAGGTTAGCAACACGCATTTTTCACTAAATTTCTCTTCCAAAACTGTTTGTCTTGCTGAGTGTTTCCAACATTTTCTGTTTTGAGGCTGGATTTCCAACATTTGCAGAATCTTGAATTTTGGTTCACTGTGGATTGTCTGCTTAGACTGTCCCAATTAGGAGTACATGGAGCTGTGAAAGAATGAGACATCAGTGACTCACCCTATTCAACGAAAAAAAACTCAGTCAGGTACTCAATCAGGGGACTTTTAATCTTTACATCTGGATTCCAAACCACAAATTTTGCCTGCAAAATAAAGGTGATTTTCCTCCCTTGGGGTATGAAAGATGCTAGTATCTGACCTGTGCACAGAAAAATGTGCTGATCCCTGTCCTGGGGATGGTAAAGATGCTGGGAGCAATTGTACAAGAGTGCAAACTGGACTCAAAATCAGAAAGAAAAGTAAAATGCTGAGGATGCTGCAGATCAAAGTAAAACAGGAAGTGGTGTGGAAACTCCTCAGGTCTGGCATCTGTGGAGACAAACACAGAATTAATGTTTTGAGTTCAGAGTCAGCTGAACTTGAAATGATGAATCTGCTTCTCATTTCAGAGAGGGTGTTTTCGGTTCAGTAGGATAGACTAAAACAAGGCTGACTGTAAGAATCTGAGATGGAGTTGAATCCTTTGTTGAGCATGCTGCATTGCTCACATTTAGTGTGAAAAGCTCTATAATTGAGAAAATTATACATAGATCTCTTGAGACTGCATGGTGGCACAGTGGTCAGCACTGCTGCGTCACAGCACAGGGGACCTGGGTTTGATTCTAGCCTTGGGCGACTGTGTGGAGTTTGGACATTCTCCCTGTGTCTGCGTGGGTTTCCTCCAGGTGCTCCGGTTTCCTCCCACAGTCCAAAAATGTGCAAATTCGGTAGATTGACTATGCTAAATTGCCCATAGTGTCTTGTGTGTAAAATGCAGGGATAGGGTAGGGTGTGAGACTGGGTGGGATGCTCTTTAGAGGATTGGTGTGGACTCAATGGACTGAATGGCCATCTTCCACACTGCAGGGATTCTATGATGATCTCGATGGCCCTTTATTTGTTAGTTATGCCTGGTCAATATGTCTGCACACCTTTACAATTACGGATTCTATTGCTCTCCACAGACATGTTTCAACTTTTAATAGATATTTGTTTATTAGAAACAATGTAATCTTTCATTTTGTGGATAACAATCAAAGGAAAGTTTTAAATCCAAACAAAAGATTGGGATGAGTCATGTACTATATCCCTGATTGCATTTTCCCAATCTGCTATGAAACCTGGTGACCATTGTGACTCTGTCCAGGGGGAAATGCAGTCTATTCAGATCTTTACCTGGTGTCCATAGCAGTGACGGATCGCATGATGAATACATAAACCAAGACATTGTATGATTTCTAGTGTATATTTTCTATTTAGTCTGCTGTCCATCACTCCCCAGAGACCCAGATAACATTCTGGGGACCGAGGTTTGAATCCCACCATTCCAGATGGTGGAATTTGAGTTTAAAAAAAATCTGGAAATAAGAATCTAATGATGACCGTGAATCCATTGTCATTGTTGGAAAAACCCATCTGTTCACCTATGTCCTTTAGGGAAGGAAACTGCCATTCTTATCCAGTGATGTCATCATCCCATGAATGAATTTTTTAAAAATTAATTTAAAAAACTCCTGCAAATACATTTATCTCTGTCTTAATTTATTTGACAACTGACAGTTCAAACTGGTTGATAGTCACTTTCACTTTTCATCAAGTTGTGGCCATTTCACGGTTGAAACAAAAAAAAAATTGCATGAATGGAACCATAGTTGTTCTCGTAGGAACAATGCGTGCTCTGTTTGAAAAATACCTCATCTCACTTATGAACCAGATATCAAAGTTGACCATATCCCGATGCTGTGTACCATGAAAGTGAAATTCTTCACCATCTTATCGACTTGTGTTGCTATTTCAGGGAGCTATGGACTTGAACCTCCCAAACTGCATCACTTCAAACTAAACTTCAAATGCCATTTCTCTGCACAACATTCTAACTGATCTATATCTCATTTGAACTTGCCCCCCTCTCACATTAAATGCATGCCCCTTAGTATTAGACATTTCCACTCTGGGAAAAAGGTTCTGACTGTCAATTCCAGCTATGCATCTCATAATTTTGTAGACTTCTATGAAGTCTTCCTCGGCCTCCACTGCTCCAGAGAAAACAACCCGAGTTTTCCTAATGTCTCCTTATAGCTCATACCCTGTAATCCAAGCAGCATCCTAGTAAACCTCTTCTGCACCCTCTCCAAAGCCTCCATATCCTTCCTGTAACGTGGTGACCAGAACAGAACACAATACTGTAAGAGCAGCCTAACTAGTCTTATAAAGTTGCAACATTACATCTTGTACTCAGTATTCCTTTCTTCCTTGCACGAGTCTCTCCCTTGTCGAGTCCATGAGCTTCTGCACTTTCCCACGCAGCTCTTTCATTTACAGACTTTACCTCACAACATTACCCAATCCAGAGTCCAAGCCCTACAGCTTCGCCATATACTGCACTCTCCCCACATCAAAATCATGATGGCAGTGAACAATGACGACTTGTACTTCCACAACAACCCACTCCGTCACTAATATGTTGACTTTCCCAGTGATTCCACAATTAATGTCCACGCTTCATCCAAGCAGGCTGTCCCCACTGCCCAGTAGTGATTTCCCCAGCTTCACCAGGACTGCAGTGCCCCCCGAACATCTTGAGAATTTCATCAAATTGACCCCCAATGGTAGGAACGGACAGGGTCAGCTTGGATTGATGAACATAATTCAGGCTCAACAAATCTACTGGAGCATTTTGAGGATGTAACCAGTAGTGAGTGTGTCCACCTCTCTGTACAGTAGTGATACAGATTCCCTGATCCTGATTGCCCCAAATGGCTGACTGTGTCAAAGTCCCTGAGCTGATATCAAATGATTCCTTGGACATGTTGTGTCAGGATCTCCTGACTGAATCCTGTCTCCCTTGCCCTGACTGAGAACTGCTTCCCTGAGACTTTGAGACGTGACCATTTGGTTGAAACACATGCGTTTGTTGCCTCAGCTGCTGACCAGCCCTTGACTGTCTGCTGGTAACAACAATGATAAGCTGCCTGGCTTATGCCTGCGATAAACAACCAGGCAAGACAGGAGCACTGTGAAACATTAGGTTCTAGTTGAGACATCAAAGGGCAGAGATATTGTGCCAGTCCCTGAGCACAACACGTCTCAGGTGCTGAAAAGCTTGTAGAGTTCTTAGAGCAAGAATGTACTTTGTGGACAGGCAATTCTGCATCTTGATGTTAGCATTTTTATTTAACTCTGGCTCATTTCACTAGATCTGCAAATATCTATTGGTCTGGCTAATGTGAGAACTGGCTTTCGGAGTAATATGCCACTGACTTGGTCATTCGCAATTGTGTCCCACATCAGTGAATCGGTAATCTGATTAAACTCACAGGCCTTGACTTGAGAAAAATAAAGCAGTCACATGCACACCTGTTTGATTGGGTGTTCTTGCACTCAAATGAAAAATGTGCCTTGTATACGTCATATCCTTTCCTGGCTCACAGTGTTCCCAAAATCTCTCGTTCAATACATCCAAGTCATCGTCATCAAATTCAAAACTAGTGAATACTTCGATAGCTTTATCTTATTTTTTCTGAAATGCCATTTGCAATTAGGTAGTGTTGGCAGGCGATTTTCTTTTACTTCTGATGCCATGTGTGGATATTCGGGGATGGTGTTGGTGGGAAGGTGCGGCATGTACCAGGGATGAGGCGATAACATTCAGAGCAAGTGCTGAACATGCAGAAAAGGAGAGATTAACAGTTACCTTAGAATAAGCATATTTGGAGAAAGTTGGGTGAAAGTACTGAGAGAAAGCACTTTGGCGGCATGGTGGCTCAGTGGTTAGCACTGCTGCCTCACAGTGCCAGGACCCGGGTTCGATTCCAGCCTTGGACGACTGCCTGAGTGGAGTTTGCACATTCTCCCCGTGTCTGCGTGGGTTTCCTCCGGGTGCTCCCGTTTCCTCCCACAGTCCAAAGATGTGCAGGTTAGGTGGATTGGCCATGCTAAATTGCCTGTCGTGTTCAGGGAGGGGTAGATTAGGTGGGTTATAGGTCTGGCTGGGATGCTCTGAGAATCAGTGTGGACTTGTTGGGCCGAAGGGCCTGTTTCCACACTGTAGGGATTCTATGATATGGTTCCAGAGCGTTGAGCAGATGCTGGAGAATCTGAGATAACAAGGTGGGGAGCTGGATGAATACAGCAGGCCAAGCAGCATCAGAGGAGCAGGAAGGCTGACGTTTCAGGCCCGACCCTTCTTCAGAAATGGTTCTTCAAGTTTTGATCAGGCTTTTTTTAAAATTGGTTAAATGAGACTGCACCATTCCTGGAAACACTGCAATACCAGGACGATGCATGGAGTGGATGAAGCAAGCTCCTATTCCAACTCCCTGCTCCAAAAATCAGTTTAATATATGGTCCTTAAGTAAAGGACATATCAGATATTAAAGCTGATAAGAACAGAATTTTTTTTTTTTTTATTTAAAAAAATATACTTTATTCGTAGAAAATACAAAAAAATAAACACACTTTCACCTACCCGGTCATCCAAGCCGTCCCGGATTACCCTGGGGGTACGTACACCAACTAAAGGGAAAAAACAAAGGGAAAAAAAAGAAAAACTCCGGTGGTCATCACTACCGTAGTCATAGTTGGCCCCCTGACCAGTTGGAGGAGGCGCCAGCTGGGCCCAGTTTCTGAACAGGGCCCTAATACGGTACGGCCGAGGGGTCTTACACGGTGGTCTTTCCCCACCGCGCCTTGGCGGCGGCTGCCCCAAGCTTTAGTGCATCCCTCAACACGTAGTCCTGAACCTTGGAGTGCGCCAGTCTGCAACACTCGGTCGGGGTCAGTTCTTTCAACTGGAAGACCAGCAAGTTGCGGGCAGACCAAAGAGCGTCTTTCACCGCATTGATGGTCCTCCAGGCGCAGTTGATGTTGGTCTCGGTGTGCGTCCCGGGAAACAGCCCGTAGAGCACGGAGTCCCGTGTCACGGAGCTGCTCGGGACGAACCTCGACACAAACCACTGCATTCCCCTCCAGACCTCCTGCGCATAGGCGCACTCCAGAAGGAGGTGATAGACTGTCTCGTCACCCCCGCAGCCACCTCGAGGGCAGCGTGCAGTGGCGCAGAGAGCCCGGGCGTGCATGAATGATCTCACCGGCAGAGCCCCTCTCACCACCAGCCAAGCAATGTCCTGGTGCTTGTTAGAAAGTTCTGGCGATGAGGCATTCTGCCAAACGACTTTGGCAGTCTGCGAGGGGAACCACCCGACAGGATCCACCCTCTCCTTTTCCCGAAGGGTCTCAAGGATGCTACGTGCTGACCACTGCCTGACGGCCTTGTGGTCAAAGGTGTTTCCCTTCAAAAATTTCTCCACGAAGGACAGGTGGTACGGGACGGTCCAACTACTTGGAGCGTTCCGCGGCAGCGAGGCCAAGCCCATCCTTCGCAACACCGGGGACAGGTAGAACCTCAGTAGGTAGTGACACCTAGTGTTTGCGCACCGAGGATCTACGCACAGCTTGATGCAGCCGCACACAAAGGTAGCCATCAGGGCGAGGGTGGCGTTCGGCACGTCCTTCCCCCCGTTTTCCAGGTCCTTGTACATGGTGTCTCTGCGGACCCGGTCCATCCTCGACCCCCAAATGAAGTGGAAGATGGCCCGGGTAACCGCAGCGGCGCAAGTCCGGGGGATAGGCCAGGCCTGCGCCACGTACAACAGTACCGAAAGCCCCTCACACCTGACGACCAGGTTTTTACCCGCAATGGAGAGAGACCGGTGCACCCACCTGCCCAGCTTCTGCCGCAGCTTCGAGATGCGCTCCTCCCAAGTTTTAGTGCACGCCCCAGCTCCTCCAAACCAGACACCCAGCACCTTCAGGTAGTCTGTCCTGATGGTGAAGGGGATGAAGGAGCGGTCATCCCAGTTGCCAAAGAACATGGCCTCGCTCTTACCCCTATTGACTTTGGCACCCGAGGCCAGTTCGAACTGGCCGCAGATGTCCAACAGCCTACTCACCGACCGGCGATCGGTGCAGAAGACGGCGACGTCGTCCATGTACAGGGAGGTCTTGACCTGCAGGCCTCCGCTGCCTGGGATCGTCACCCCCTTCAGGCTCACGTCCTTCCTGATGGACGCGGCGAAGGGCTCCATACAACACACGAATAAGGCAGGAGAGAGTGGGCAGCCCTGCCTGACTCCAGATCTGACAGGGAAACTGTCGGATTCCCACCCATTGATCGAGACTGCACTAACAATGTTGGTGTAGAGCAGTCGGATCCAATTGCAGATCCCCTCCCCAAAC